AGGGCTCCTTAATGCCAGACTCAGTCGAATGCAGCCTTGATGTCAAGGCCTGTCACTCTCACCTTTGGATTTCAGTTCTTTTGTCCATGTTTGAACTAAGGGATGTAATGAGGTCAGGGGCTGAATGGCCCTGGAAGAACCCAAACTGGATGTCAGGGAGTAGGTGCTACTTGGTTGATGACACCTTCCATCACTTTATCGATGATCGAAAGTAGACTGATGTGGTAGTAATTTGCTGGGTTGGTTGTCCTGCTTTTTGTGTACAGGATATACCTGTGCAATTTTCCAACTGTCGGGTATGATGCCAGTGTTGAGAGCTTGGCTACGGGAATGGCAAATTCTACAGTATAAACCTTCAGTACTATCGCCAAAATGCTGTCAGGGCCCACAGCCTTAGCAGCATCCAGTGCCTCCAGCCATTTCTTGCTGTCACATGGAATGCATCGAATTGGCTGAATATCGGTATCTGTGATGCTGGGGACCACTGGAGGAGGCCAAGATGGACCATCCATTCGGCACTTCTGGCTGAAGATTGCTACAAATGCTTCAGCCTTATATTTGCACTGATGTGTTGATTCTTCCATCATTGAGGATGGGGATATTTGTGGCGCCTCCTCCTCCAGTGAGTTGTTTAACTGTCCACCATCATTCACGACTGGATGTGGCAGGGCTGCAGAGCTTGGATCTGAGATTTGAGATTGTATCACTTCAGCAGGATGTCTTAGAATGTTTTATAGAGCAAAGAAGAAAATAGTTTCAATATTTCACGATCAGAACATTTATCTTGTGCTCTGACTTTGAATATGTGCAATGGAAATAAATTACAGCCAAAAATAGCTTGAAATGAGCATCATAAAATATATCTATCATTTTGACACGTGAAACTACTGTAGCATTCCAACCTAGCTACAGTCCCGCAAGCGAATGTTACTAACATCACAACAAAAGTAAGTGGCAAATAAATAAAAACACGACAAATAAAATTTAAAATAAAATTCAGCTGCTTCTGCTTTCATCTTCCATTACTGGCAGGATTTCTTTCATCTCTTGTGCCCTTCTCAGATTTCTCAAACTTAACATCTTCCTTGTAATTTTTAAAAATTAATTTAAAAACACACTCTTTGAATATGTTTTTGGCCCCTATCCTTCATCACAAAACCCCTGTAACCCCTACCCATTCAGACTTTTGCTCTCTTCCATAATGTTTTCCATGGCGCCGCCCTAGGATTGCCAACTCCAATTGGATGCATTTCTGGATGTTTAATTACAGGATGTACTGCTTCCTTCTGATCTAGCTCAACCCTACCCTCCTGCCATTGGCTGCCACTTCGATCACCGTGCACACCAGTTTTACTCTGCCAACTCACAAGTAAATAGACAGCCTAACAATCTGATGATTCTTGACTATCAGCCTTTTCTCACCAACAGCTTTATGTTTTTAAGTAATAAAAGTGTTGAATAAAATATTAATATTTTAAACACCTCTGATTCTTCACCATAAGTGATCACAGAGGTGGCCTTAAGATAAATCTTTAATTCTGGACATTCCAACACTACCCTGGAGGATAACGCAGCTACTCCAGCAAGATGGCAGCAGGGTACGTTGCTTCATTCGGAGCTCCACTCTGCTCACCAGTTCCCTTTCCTTTTTTTTTCCCTCTTCTTCTCTTCTCACTGCAGTAAATCTATCCCCGCCCACCCCCTGCCCTTTTAACTACCTACCTAAGGAGTCGGGAAGGAGTCAGGTCACAACCGGAACCGTGTGGCGGAAGCCAAATGTGTGGGCCATGGCCTGTAGCGGCAGTGGCGACAGCGGGGCCGGCGAGGGGGACAGTGGACGGCAAGAGCGGGGCCAGCGAGGGGGCAGTGGGTGGTGAGAGTAGGGCCGGTGAGGGGATGGCGGTGAGAGCGAGGCCGGTGAGGGAGCAGCGGGCGGTGAGAGTAGGGCTGGTGAGGCGATGGCGGTGAGAGCGGGGCCAGCGAGGGGGCAGTGGGTGGTGAGAGTAGGGCTGGTGAGGCGATGGCGGCGAGAGCGGGGCCGGCAAGGGCGCAGTGGGCGGTGAGAGCGGGGCCAGTGAGGCGGTGGCGGCGAGGGGGCAGTGGGCGGTGAGGCGGTGGTGACGAGAGTGGGCCTTTCGCTCGGCGGTGGCCTCCTGGGTCCTAGCGAATGGAGCGGCGCCAGCAGCGTTGTGGAGCTGGGACTTGGGACTTAGATCTGCACTTTTTTTTTCGCCTTGCTTACCTTTTGGCACTGTTGACATCTTTTAGTTCTGGTTTTTGTAGCCAAGTGGCCACCAGTGAATGGCAATTTTGTGCATTTTTTGCCGTATGTATTATGTATTCCTATACTTGTACATGTGACAAATAAATCTAAATCCTTGAAAAATCTTAAATCACCATGTGGTGAGCAACACAACAACATTCATGGAATAGGGCACCCCACTAACTAGAATCTGAAATTATTAAAAATACCAACTTGTTAGTTTGAAGTTATTGTAAAATAAAACAGCTGAACTCAGTTGTGAGGAGAGGCTGGGCTTGTTTTCCTTGGAGCGGAGGAAGCTGAGGGCAATCTGATTGATGTATACAAAATTACAAGAGGCACATACAGAGTAGATTGTGAGAATCTTTTCATGATGGCCAATGTGTCAAAGACCAGACAGCATAAGTGTAAGGTGAGGAATAAGTGGTTTAGGGGAAATCCACCAGAGGTTGATAGAAATAGGGAAGGTGTTACCTGAGAGGGTGGTGGAGGCAGGTGCTCTCTCAACATTTAAGAAGCATGTGAATAAGTACTTAAAATGCCAGGGCATAGTCAGCTATGTACCTACTGCAGGTAAATGGGAATAGTGTAGTTTGGTGTTTGTTGATTGGGCATTGACATTGACATGGTTGGCTGAAAGGCATGTTTCTACACTGTATGATGCCCTCGATGTTTACAGAGAAAAATCAAAGGTGGACAGGCTTGAAGCTTCAAATTTCAGTGTTTGTCAAGAATATTTCTGTTCAATTTCTATTATGACCAACTGCAATGGGCTCACCAACATTTTTGATTTAGCAGCAGCACCTGATCCCAGTGCCTGCCAGATATTTTTACTGTATGTTGTAGTATTTGCATTACATTGTTACTTCTAGAAAGAGAATTAAAGGTGTTGCTTCAATAAAAGAGCTTTTGATCTCATCATTACTATTTGCTTTAAAAAATCCATATATTCAAGTCAATGAGACTACAGAAAAAATGGGTTAAGTTATTGGATCATTTGAGCATCAAGAGAAATATGACCTGAATAATGAGCACTTTGCTATGCAAAATGCTTTAATAAGATCATAGGGGCCGCACGGTAGCTCAACGGTTAGCAGGAACGAACGGAGTTCGATTCCACCCTCGGGTGACTGTCTGTGTGAACTGTCTGAATGTTTGCACATTCTCCCCGTGTCTGCGTGGGTTTCCTCCGGGTGCTCCAGTTTCCTCCCACAGTCCAAAGATGTGCACGTTAGGGGATTGGCCATGCTAAATTGCCCATAGTGTCTAGGGATATGCAGGCTAGGTTGATTAGCCATGGGAAATGAGAGGTTATGGGGATAGGGTGGAACAGGTGGGAGGAAGGTCAATTTGGACTCGATGGACCAAATGCCCTGCCTCCACACTGCAAGGATTCTACGATTCTATGAAGGATTATGTCCAAAAAAATCCTAGTTTTAGAAATAAGAAGTCTGAACAAGCACAAGGCATCTTGCTTAGATCACAATCTCCAGTGAGAACTTTCCATACACACAGTAATCCTCAAAGAAAATACCAAATAAGCAGAATAGGCATTCTTCGTTCATCACTATTCAAGATTGCCCAGCCTCAGCAACACTGCAATCAAGTCCTGTGATTAAAAAATAGAAATAAGAGTAAGCTCTTCAGACCCTCATGCCTGTTCCAACTCTACCTTCCTGCCCTAATCCTAACCCAATTCTGAGAACCTGAGGTCTTGAATAGGCGGTGACTCAGTTTGTACAGTTTCCTGAGGTCAAGAATTCCAAAGATTCACAACCCATTGAAAGTGACTCATATGTAAATTATCACTAGTCAAGAGTTGCACTGACAAGGCCTTGGGAAGGTTGATAGGTTCCCTGGGGAATACCTACTGTGGCTAGATGGAACAGTAATGAAAACCATCAGTCTGGGAATCAATTAAATGACAAATAGCAAATTTCTGAAGGATCCATACAAAGGCAGAAAGACATCAGGCACATCTGAAGGTCACAACAACATTGAAGAGATTCAACATCATTGAAGACAAAGCAGTCTGTTCCTGCCAGGGAGTGGAATATCCATTCCCTCTGCAGTAACTACACTGTGTCTGCAGTGAGTATGTACGAGATGCTGCACATTAACTCGCCTAGCTTACTTCAACAGTACCTTCCAGCTTTCACCTCCATCACCAAGAAAGTCAAAAGCGTTGAGATCATGGGAGTGCCATTATCTTCATGTGCCTCTGGGAGTCATTCAATATCCTGATTTCACTACGTACTGCTATTCCTTTATTGTCAATAGGTCAAAATTTTCCTACCCACTACCACTATGGATAAATCTGCAAATGATTTCTGGAAGACCCCATTACAGCAACTAGGTATGGACAATAAATGTTTTTTCTGATGAAGGGTCTAGGCCCGAAACGTCAGCCTCTCTGCTCCTATGATGCTGCTTGGCCTGCTGTGTTCATCCAGCCCTGCACCTTGTTGTCTCGGATTCTCCAGCGTCTGCAGTTCCTACTATCTCTCATGGACAATAAATGTGACTGTTCCAAGCTCACCAACATCTAAGAACAACTATTTTTTAAAAATCATGAATATAGAATCATATGACTTGCTAAAGTGAGGATTTTAATGAAGTACACGTGAATATAATCCAAATTTCAAGCAGAGAATTCAAAAGTACAGTTTGCGAATTCTTTTGCTCCTCTCCTGGCAATTTTATTTCACAGAAAAATATTTTTTAAAAAATTCTTTACCTCGTCGAGGAAATGAGGGTCCAAGCAATCTCCATCGTCATTGAAAAGGGCATCCCAAGTGTCATCCTCTGGTTCTTCAGGAACAGCTGCTTTAATACACTCAGTTTCTTCTGTATCAGTATTTAGTTGATCTGAAGCCAGTGAGATTTGGTTGACACCTTGCAAAGCAACACCGAATTCAGCCTCCTGCTCCATGCTGACAGGTTTGCTGTCTGTCAGGTTGATTGCAGTGTTGTCTCTTTCTATTAAAGATGCAGACTTTTCCGTTCCTTGCTGCACTTCTTGTATGGTTGAAAGAGCAACAAATTTGAAACTTGGAGAATCTGAGAAGACTACATTTCCAGATGAAGTGGTGGGTAAACTAACACTGTTCTCATTTAGAAACATAATCTCAGTTCCCTGAGAGAAAGAGTCATTATCTATCCTAGTTTCATGCTCTGTTGCATTGTTCACAGCAAATATCTTGTAAGAACTGTCTACTTCAGTAGCTCCAGTGCATGAATATTGTCTACTGCTCCTTTCCATCTGCTGTGCCTCTTTTACACCTTCTGAGCATTCTAATACATTTTGTTTCACAGCATCTGAGCATTTACAGATGGCTAATTTAGAGGATACCAGCTCACTTGGCTTAAGAAAATTGTCAGAATCACAACTTCTGCTCACACCAGAGGCAGCTTTTAGATGGAAAGATTTGTTTACATCAGTCTCATGCTCGCTTGCGACAGAATCTGCATTATTGTGTCGGTCATTATTTCTGTGTTCTGACTGTTCATCACTAGACATATTTGCGGTAATCTGTTGTGCAGGGGTTTGGATTTCTGTGTGACTGGATTTCATTCCTTCTCCATTACTCTCAGCAATTGAGCTGGTAACTTCAAGTAAACCATTTGCTGCTACATCAATATTATTACATTTTTGTGACACTGCTTCTTTATGCATCAGTTCTTTCTCTCTGTGGTGCAATTTACTACTCTTTGACCCTGCCCTACACTTCTGCTGGGTCGCCTTCTTTCCTTTTAAGTGCTTTGATTCCAATCTGTTTCCTTCACTTGACTTCCTTTCTCGGACAGAGTGCACAGATTGCCTCTTTTTAAAATCTTTGTTTGTGTGCTCTCCTTGGCTTTCTTCCTTATGAGGTAAGTTGCTTTGTGTGTGAATCCACTCATGGGGCATTCCCAAGTTATTGTAAGGAAATACCTTTACGGTAGTACTTTTCTCGGTCTCTTCTGCTGCAATTACCGTACTTGTGAGTACCTTTTGGGCTTCTACCTCTAGTTTGGGATCACAGCTTAGCTGCTGCTCTGTGCTCAAGTGCCGCCGTGCTCTGGGAATGTACAGAGCTTTGTCTGGTCTCTTTGACCGTGGTTTGCTCTTGTCCTGTTCTTGCTCCATACAGTTTTTCCTTTTCTTATCTGGAAAGGCAGTAAATAAGAAACCAATTTTCAATCCACTTCACTGTTGTCTATTAGCAACACACTGCAAGAACCACCGAAAATAAGAGACGAGCCAGTACAAATTAATTATCAGTTTTTGTCAAGATGACTAAAAGGGGATGTCATTACTCTTCATGCACTGATTAAATATGGCAACCTTCACCTAAATCAAAACAGTTCCTTTTAGTTGTATAGTTATTTCCTTCTAATATTTTCATAGAGTCTTACAGCATGGAAACAGACCCTTCAGTCCAAGTAGTTTATGCTGACCACGTTCCCAAACCAAACTAGTCCCACTTGCTTGCATTTGGTCCATATCCCTCCAAATCTTTCATATTCATGTACTTATCCAAATACCTTTTAAATGTTGTAACTGGAGAGAAATAGCCCAAATAAATTGTTGCTTAACATTGTTACTTGTAAATGCCAATTGATTAAAAAATATAAATTTCTAACTTTATATTACTTTTCAGGGAAGGAACATGTAAGCTACATTTTCATTTTAAAAAATTAGAGTAGTTAGTTATTGGAGTTTTGATGTGTGTGGGACTATGTGGCAGTATACAAGATGTTTTCATGCACAGCAAAACTCAGATTTTGTCTCGTTCACCAAACAGGAAGATGGTACCAAATGCACACGAAGGAAGAGAGGGAAAAGATGAGAAAGAATATGGAGGGCAAGGTGGTTCTGAAATCCAGCAGAGGGGTACCAATATAGAATTCAAGAAAGAAGAAACAAAGAAAGTAGTCACCCATAGCGCAGATTATAAAATTAGTGCAACAAAGCCTGCTACAGCAGAAAAGGGGAGCAACGTGGAAAAACTTGAAATTAAGAACAAGATTTCTGAAGTCAATTCAGCTTGAAAGGCAGATGTTGTCAAAATAAATTTTTAGAGATTCTTGTTAACACTGAAGAAAATGAGTCAGACAAAATAAAAAGCCAAGTCTGCTTTTTTCACTGTCAGGAAGCCAAACAAACCACCATAAAGACAGGTCTTTGCTTTGCCATATATTGGAAGGTCAATAGAATGTAGTATGAAATTTTCAATTAACAACCATTTGAACCATAAAGGAACTCTGAAAAGTTCTACCTTGCCAAATTCCAAAGGAAGAAATTTCAGGGTGAAGTAATAATGGAAGCGGGTCCGTCACTGATAGATCAGTAGTGATAGTAGTATAACAAGGAGTAGTGGGAAAACGTAAGTAGCAGGAGCATTGTACAAAAATAGCAAAAGTCAGATGGGGTCATTTCTACCACCCCACCCCACTCCCCAAACCAATAGTAATGGCTATCGGTGTATTAAACAAAACCTTGAGACAACAGACATTATGGTCTCAGAGAAACTGTAACTGCGGGGCCCATGCAATGGAAAAGGTTCAAGGTAAATTATTAGAGAACTTGGACACGAGTCTATCCTGCATCATACCCATGCTTGGTGACTTCCATAACCTGTGGATAAGGCCAAACCAAAAGGGACATAAATTTAAGATATGACCTTAATAAATCTGAAGAAGAATTCAAGAGAAACTGCTTAACCAAGAGAGTAATTGGAACAAAGAATTTGCTATCACAGGAAGTGGCCGAAACAGTTGATGCACATACCTTCAAAAGAAAACTAGGTAGCTACACTAGGGAGAAAGAAACAGAAGTACATGCTACAACAAATATATAGAATGCTGGAGTAACTCTGCAGGTATATCAGCTAACTTTGCTCAAGTTCAACCCCGATCTATAACATGCCTTAGGCCATTTTGCTACAAGTGCTGCATAATTGGAAGATGACATTGCTGAGGTTTTTATATATCCACATAGGGAACAGACAGCAAAGTGATCAAGATAGCAGTTCCCCATCTCATCTCCTGATCTCCACTGGCCACAACTGCTTCACAAGGATTTAAAACATTTTTTGCACTGCAAATACATCCTTCTAACATGTGGAATATTCTACAAGGCACTGAAACATGCAGCAATCTTTTGGAAGAAAACACTATTGAGACTTTTTAGACACATTCAAAGAATTAAACACTTTTTAAAACCGTAACATTGATTTTTAGCCATTGTTCACTTTGTAGAAAAGTAAAAGAAGTTCTTAAATTCCTTACAGTATCCAATATTTCAGCACTGCTTTCCTTGCCTCGCAAATTCTTCTTACCTGGCTGGGTTCAAAATATCTACTGCCTTTTTCCTTCATAAGTATTCCAATCACATTCAATTTTGATACTATGGAGAGTATTCCCTTGCCAGTTATATCCCTCGCTTTTAATTTCACAATAGCTGCATGATTAAGATTTAAAGTAACAATGCAAAATGCTATTACCTGCTCAGATTTCAGGAATGTACAACGTTGGGGGCTAGAGTGAGATTTTTCTTAAAATGTGGTCAGTACGACTTCGGTAATACATCAAAGAGAAACACAAAGCCAAAGTTGAAAAATTACCAGTTCCTAAAAGTAAGTTAATGGGATATAGACATTGCTGTTATTGTCCATCTTTAGCTGCATTGGAGGTGGTGGTGATTAGCCACCATCTTCAACTGCTGCAGTCCATGTGATGTAGATACACTAACAGTGCGCGCACACGTGTGTGTGTGTGTGCGTGTGAGTCAGAGTGTGTGTGTGCGCGTGCACAAGCATGTGTGTACACACATGCATGTGGGGGCGTTTGGGCAGGGGGTAAGGAGAGGAGGGCAGTGACAAAAAAGAAACAGATTAATTTCCAAGGCAGGATGAGGTAGGACTCAGATAAAACTTGCAGTTGATAGTGTTTTCATGCATATGCTGCCTTTATTCTTCTTGAAAGTACAGGTTGTAGGTTTGGAAGGTGCTGCCAAAGGAGCATTTGCTAGCAAGTTGCTGAAGCACATCTTAAAATGATGCGCTCTGATGTTAAGGTGCATCATTGGAGGAAGGAGAGTCTGCCAAGCAGGCTGTTTTGTCCTGGTTGATGTCAAGCTCAAGCTTCGAGTATTTTTGGAGCCAGACTCATTCAGCTAGGTGGGGAGCATTGTTGACTTGTGCCTTGTAATGGACAGGTTTGAGGGAGTCAGGTGGTGAGTGACTCATAGAAGTTTCATCATTTGACCTGCTTTTATAGCCATTATAGCCAATAGTGACTTCATGAATGTTGATCCTGTGGGATATAGTGGTGGTAATACCATTGAATGCCAAGAGGATAAGTAGATTCTCTCTTATTAGAGATGGATCATTGTCTAGCACCTGCAATACAAATTTACTCGCCGCTTATTAGCTCAAGTCCAAATAATGCCCAAGTCTAGCTTCAGGTGTGCATAGATTACTTCTCTATTTGAAAAGGTGCAAATGTACCCTACAGTACAATAATCTAATTCTAAAATATAATGGAATTGTAACTTAGATGGTGGTAAAAAATAAACTGCTAAAGAAACTCATCAGGTCTGGCAACATCTGTGGAGAGAGAGAAACTGAGTTCATGATCCAAATCCAATATGGTGCTTCTTTGAAGCTGAAGACAGGAAGGATAGTGGGAAGGAGCATCATTTTGGACTCAGAAAATTAACTCTATTTCTCTCACCAAAGATGTTTCCAGACCTGAGTTTCTCCAGCACTTTTTGGTTTTATTTCAGATCTTCAGCATCTGCAGTAATTTATTTTTGTTCAATGCCAGAATAACTTAGCCCCGGATAGCCCAGATCATTTAGTTTTAACTCAATGAGATACATACTGGAAAGAAGCAGATCAACGCTTGGGTTGTAAGGCAATTCCTTTGGACCACTGCTTGCACTGCAGTCATGGTTCAAATTAATTTGTATTTGTTTTACTGCTTTCTTTTTCAAAAACATAAATCTCAAGTGAACTTCATGTGCTTTGTGCGATTCTCACTTACTGAATTTCATAAAGTTGGAAAAAGAGGTTTTGATTGCTCACAAAAAGCAGACAGTACTCTAGAACCAAATACAAATTTATAATACTATCTTGGAAATCCATCTCTGTTCAACTTCTGCACAAGTTTAGGTTATGAGGAGTGCAATGGAGTGATACAAACTCAATTAACTGTTGACTAATTCAACTAACAAATAACTGGTATCCACACATTTGCTTCTTAATTAATTTACCATTTATCTAAGTTACAGACCTGTTGGATGTCTCAATTCAGGTTTTGCATGACTTTCTTGACTCCAAGTCAATGAATGTACCATCAAAAATACCTCTCCTCTCAGCATTTGTTTCTTATTGATTTTTCCACTTTCAAAAGATTTTTGATGTTTTGATTGGTTTATTGGTAATATTCTCTCATGTTGAATCAGAAGCTCGAGAGTTCAAACTCAATTCCAGGACAGCAAGTAGATTAAAGCTGACATTTCAGAGGGAGAACTGTGTGATCAGAGGCTCCACCTTTCCAATGAGATCTTATGCTAAGGATCCAAATGCTTCTTGAAGAGTACAGAAAATATTCCATGTTTCAAGGAGCAGGGAATTTTGCAGGGATCACGGAGAAAACACCAACCTTGAGTCAACATCACTAAAAACAGACCAGAGGTTCATATCTCATGTGCTGTTTTTCATGAATTGTTATGTGCAAAAGGATTGCCACATTTACATACAGAAATGGAAATGATACTTGGAGAAGTAATTAATTAGCTGTGAATTGCTTTGGGGCATCAAGAGAATATGAAAGAAAGAATTTTCATTTACATAATATTTTTCACAATCTTGGGATATCTTATCAAATACTTCCAAAGGGTCACCACTGTTGCAATGTAGGAAATATGGCTGACGAAGCACATGTTTATGAATCCACTCGTCTACAAACTCTTGCTGATCATTACAGTCCAGATGACAGAGTCCTCAGTTACTCTTTCTCAGGCCACTTTAGATGGCTTGATATGTTATTTTCAGTTGTCAGAGCCTAACAGGTCTTGTCTTCAACTCTGTGCTCTTTCCAACTGTACAATACACAGTCTCAGCTCTATCCAGAGAAACCTGCTTCAACACAAGGATATG